CACATTCTGACAGCACTTCAGACAGCAGCTTTGTGCCCCGCCAGCTTCTTGTTCCATGCCTACCATGGTGTTTTTGTACAGACAGCACTTCAGACAGCAAGTATGCTGTAGTCGGCAATCATTCGTTTTGGTACAGAGTGGGACAGGTAGGGGGTGATGCTGCTGTAGTCGAACGGTGAGACGGACGTGTAGTTCAGTTTGGGACACGCGTACGGTGCTGCAGGGATTATATGTAGGTGTAGTAGTACCTCTTCGGGCTCTTGTACACCTTTTTCTTGCTACGTGTGCGTGTTCTTTAGATCCTCAGATGGTTCCAGCACTTTCGTGACCACGGGCCGAGAGTCTTTGCTAGATTTTGGCATTTAGCAACTGGCATACGGTTTAATGTGAAGTCAACAACAACAACAATAGTCTATTCCGACAGGTGTCCTCCACACAGTCGGTTACTATTGTGTCCCGTCGAAACGGCACGATCATCGCAGTGATGGTCCCGTCCTACCAATCCCTGCTCCCCGTGGCCAAGTATGTGAACTTGCTGCAAGGCACTGTCGGTTTGCCACGAATCAACGATGAGTTCCCGCGATGTTGTGCCACGTTGCGAGCTGCTCTGTTCGATGTAGACTATATCCCTTGGAAAAAAAAAATGAAACCGTCGAACTTTGACTTTTTCTTTCACCGAGCCGTCGGTGAGCCGCGGAACTCCGCATCTCCGGAGCGGGCACGCACTGGATATCTACCATTTTCCTGTGCGTGGTGGCACTACGATGTACACACGGGTACGTCTCGCACATGAACATCTCTTGAATCTTCCAGATAGACCGGGAGCAGACGATCGGCAGCCATGGGAGACTTCGATGCCATCCCGCCCGAAAGATCGTCCAGCAACGTTAACGGCAACGACGACGGCGACGATGACAAGCATGGCGCCGGTGAAAGCTGCAAGTTCTTCAACAAATAGGGCATGGAGTTGAAAGTATTGCAGTTTGATTTGGTCTCGACTGGACAGCGCCGCACTCGTGCTTTCGGTGTATCAGGATGGCTCGAAGTCGAGTCTGTCGTGTCGGTGCTGACATTGCGAAAACTACGGTGCCGTAATAATAATCTCTTGCTTGCGTTGAACCCAACAAACCTGGCCGACAAAACATCCGTGGTTGGCGCGCACGAGCATTGCCAAGACGTTCATGCCAGAACAAAGACAGGAGACGAACGAGAAAACCATTATATGTTTGGAACTGTGGTAATTTACCGTTGTATTAGCACCGATAGATGAATGCAGTACCAGGACTACAAATATGCACGTAGTTCAGCCCGGCTATGCATACGTGTGTGTGTGGCTAACAAACAGGCGGGGTTGAGCCCGAGTCCGAAGCTATTGCGTTGAGCGACGTGCTCCAGATCGATGACGAAAACGTTGGCGGCGGCGACTTCAACTTTGGCCACGACGGCGACTTCGGAACCGGACAAGACGACGGCGACGACGATGACGGATTCCACGATGACGGAGATCGGTCGCCGCTGGGAACGAACTCGAACGGTCATCGAAGGTGACAAATTCGTACCGTCGGACAGGGCTCGACATCGCCTATGGAAACTCCGTCGACCGTTTGAGTCCTTGCTTGCTTGGTGTTGAACAGGGAATGAACAATACTCGGGCGATCCATCAGGATGTAAACAAGCTCGGGCCTTCGAGACCACCTCTTCTTCTTGTATGTCGCGTTCGGTCGTGAAAGTCTCAATGTCATATACGCAGAAGCCTCACGAGAGTTTGGACGTACGAGGTCAAGGAGCTTTACATCTACTGTACAGCTTTCCTTTGCACCGGGTACCAATTGGAAGTCGGTTAGCCAAACTCGTTGTGTATTATCTGTGTTCCGTCCCGTTACACTATATTCCATCGTTGCGCGCACTGCTTCTCTGCATGTGTGTGGTTGTGTGCAAAGGTTTGGGCGTGTTGACTCTCCTTTGCGGGTGGAGCCCCCGCCGTCCTTCAACGCACCTGCACGACCCGTGGATCAGACCCAGGATCAGCAAATCAAGGCGAGGCCCACACACTCACTGATCGACCGGTGTCTGTGTCATGCTGAGGGTGTGAAGATGAAGCAAACCCATGACTCGAAACTTTTACGCCATTCGCCGGACCAGTCGCATTGCGCGTTTCTTCACACGGGGGCTGATGATCCCGCTTAAGCAAGCCCCTGATCGTGTGCATAGCGTTAGGAACTTTGTTTCACCTGCGTCGCCATGTGAGCGCTTTTCGCGCGGATGGCACTACCCCCACCTTACCTGGGCGTGGTGGAGCCGCCTGTGAGCCGTACTCTGATGCTTTGCATGCCTTAACCATGGACCACGCGTCCTCGAGAAGACGGAGCGTTTTCAGGACGTGTCAACCGCAGGGCTCTCTTAGGCAGACTAACTACCATATCGTTCGTACCCCCTTAGTTTCCTTGCCCTGAAACACCCCATGCTCCACCTCTCTCGTGCATTGTACTCGTTGATGCTACCCAATCTCCTCCGTAAAACACCATTACAGACTCTTTCTTGCTCATTTGACAAGAGGCGTGTTCCTTCCAAATTACAGAGGACAAAACAAACCAGTACACATACCCGACACAATTGTGCAAGAGCAAACAAAACTCTCCTGACGACCTCCCCCCCGCACAATGAAAACCAAACAACGCGACAGGCGTCGGCCTTCTCGCCGTCGGCTTTCACGATGCGGAAGTACGACATGCCGTCCTCATCGCACGGCCTCCTCGGATCGAAAGACTCCGCCGGGGGGCGAGTGGAAGCACGACCATCCCGCCGACCTCGTCTGATCCCCCCCCCCCCCCCC